CCCCCATTTGTTACGCCTTTTTAAATAATCCCATTTGTGAAAATAGGAGGTGGGCATTTTTAACCTGAAGGGGGAGGCTAAACAGGGCCATGCCAAAGGGGGGTTTATACTGCTGGGCCTGGTTCTATAAGGTTTACTTTTTCCCCGCCACTTTTGCTACCAAATTTGCAGCATCAAGTATTATATGGTTCGTTCTATAAGGACGCACATGTATACACATATGAGCCTGTGAATACATCAGGATAAGTTCTGTTTGCTTTTTTTTTTTTATTTCCTCCATCCCTGTTTTTTTTTTTTTTTTTGCACGGCCACCCCCCTTGCGTATACACAAAGGGAAGGGAGAACATACCTAACAGCTGCATGGAGAAGAGGGACACGTGCACATGTATATGTAGCTACACAATTTGCGAATAGGTATTTTGTAGGCCAGCGAAAAAGGAAAACATAAGATGGGAGTATGAACCTTTTTATTTTTTTTTTTTCTTGGAGGGGGGGGGCCAACCGCGAGTGTAAACGAAGGCACACGCATGGCACACGCGCAATCTGGAGGGAAAACGTAAAAGCTTACGCTAACGTAACGTTACGTGCACAAGCGCGGGGGACGACAGAAATGTGAAGCCATACGGTGACCCTCGCGTGGACCCATCAGCCAAAATAATTCACAGTTTGAGTCTGAGCAAAATGAATAGCGCAAAGAACCAAATGGTCCCTGTGATGCTCGAGATGCAGACGGCTCAGATGACCCCAGTGAACGGCACAACCAACAACGCGCAGCTGCGCGTAGGGAAGGCAGACATTAACAACATCTACTTGGACATTCTGAATATCCATGACTCGATTGTGAATCATTTAGAGACAATAGTTATTCACGTTTATAACATGGTGGAGAAGTCGCTACGCTGCTCAAGTAGGGAAGACTGCTGTAGAGAATTACACACGGGAGGAGACCCCCTCCTTAGTGGCTCTAGCGATGGCTGTATTAATGTCACCAATGATGAACAGAGTGAGTCAGCTGGAGGCGGTGTTGTTTCTTCCTCAAATGGAACCATGCATACCGAAGGAAAACAACCTTGTACACATGTCGACAGAAACTCACACGTAAAAATAGAACCTGCGGAAGGGAATAGCAGTGGTCGTTCCGAGCATGCCAATGTAGGGCACGGAAGGATGCCAAATAATGAGATGGACAGATTAGTGAACAGTTCGGAAAAGGGCATGACGAATCGAACCCAGGAGGAAAGAACCAACAACTCGGTAAATAAATATATGCATGGAGAATACCACGAAAGGGAAGAAAATATCCCATCGATTAACACTGGAAAGGAGTTGAAGTGCTCCAATGAGCTAGCTAAAATGAAATCCAATTACGATGAGCCAGTAGAGGTGGTCATTAACAAAATGGAGCCCGAGGCAACCAAATGTGAAAAGTTCTATGGGGAGAATACCCACAAGGGTGACAACCCAGACGTAGAGGAAGTGATAAAGGAAAATAAACTAAACCTGAGGAAGAACATTATCCTGTTGGAACTTCTAAAGTACGTCATGGTGCACTCAAATAATTCACAAGGTCATTTCTATAGAGACAAAATAGTAAACCCACAAATGGGAGGTAATAATGACATGCACAAGTTAAGAGGAAATTTTGATTTTTTAAAAATGAACTTAAACTCAGATGAGAGCATCTGCTGTGATCAGAACTTTTGCAATGTGAACTTTTCCAGCGTTAATATTAAGTACCTTAATATTATAAGCTACTACATGGATTTTCTTTCCCCCTTTAATAAGTTTCACAAGGAGAAGCCGATGGGGGAGAAGAAGTTGGCGCAAAGATGCGTCGATGGAGACGTAGATGGACGTGTTGATGGAGACGCAGATGGACAGCTTGAGGAACGCGCACAGCTCACACTTGTGAGGAAGAAACTGGACGATATTGCACTCAATTATGACGACCTCGTCGAGGACATCCTAAAAAACAACAACGTGAACGGTTTTACTGAAAGCTACCTGTACGCTTTGAAGGACAGAATTCTGCAGGGGGAATTTCCCCTCCCGGGAGCAACTGGCATGCATGGGGGAGATGCGGAAAGGCCCAGCAGGATTCTCCTGAGTGGTCTTAAGAGGCAACCAGGGGGGCTTGTAACCCATGGGATGAGTCGACCAAATGGTGATGTGCACAGTGGAAGTTACGTCGGGGGTACTTCCATTGGGAGTGGTACCGTTTTGGCCAGACACGTCCCATACAGCCATTTCGCACATGCCATTGAAAGAGTTAGTGAGCGTCCGAACGGGGACTTCCTGCGTAGTGTGAACCCGTTTCCTGGCGGCAACGCGCAGGAGGGGGAAGTCCCAAATTGGGGTCCTGCCAATGGGACAATGACAAGTATTGCGAGCGTAGCCCATACACCCCGTGGGAACAACCCATTCGGCAAAAAAGCCGTGCATCACAACAGCTTCGTCCCCAAGGGGTATACCTTCACGAACGGAAGAGGGCCCTTCCACAAAGGCAGGAAGAAAAACGGTGATGAGGGGCGAAATGGTGAGGAGAGCCTAAATGCTTACGATAACATAATGTGCGAAAGTACACAGAGTTACCATCATCTCTACAACAACAACGATATCGGAGGTACTTTTAATCACGTCAGCTCCACAGATATGAATTACGCGCACGCAATAGGAGGTCCTCCAGCGGCGGGGATAAAACATTTGGTGAAACAAATTTCGAAGGAACACGCGAAGAATTCAAAGAATCCAATTCGTGATGACACTGTGATGAATTATGATCACTACTCTGCAACGACAATGTACGGACAGGAAAGTAATCTCATTCTGGAAGACAAGTACAACCAAAATGGGAACGATCATTATGAGCAATATTACAAGGGGGGGTATGCAGGCGGGAGAGAAGGCTTAACTAGTTATCCAGGCAATTTTAAGAATGGCATAAAAATGGAAAGCAAAAAAGAACATTTCTTGGAGAGATCGGAAATTGTCACGTACACAGGTCACAACTATTCGAATGATACGAACAATGGAAATGCGTGGGGGAACCACCATGTTGGTACGCTTCATGCGCAGGGAAGGGATCATTACGATGCGAATGACCCGCGTAGATTGCCACCAAGAAGAATCATCCCAAATGAAGGAGAGAGTCAAGATGGCGGTTTTGCCCCTCCTTCTGAGAGGAATATAAAAAATGGAACAAAACTGAAATGCGTCGACGGGGTGGAAGCGTGGCAGAGAGATGCAGAGGGAAGGGAACACCTCGGCGAAGCGAAAAATGGTGAAAAGGAGGAGGACAATGTGCACAATTTGGAGAATTCGAATAATACACATCATTCGCATCATTCAAATCACTCGCACCCTTCGCATGCTCAGAGCGGAAACAGGGAGGCCCGTCGTCACCACGGTGGAGATTCCAGAAGGGACGCAGAAAAGACGCACTCCACAGTCAGGAGCAATAAATATGATAGTAGTTACAACACAAACGACAAGCACTTCTTCAGTGCTACCCCTAGCTTTAATCGCGGGGCAAATTGGGACCGTATCCCAAGCCCAAATGATGATGGTGCATACGCACACGGCCTTAATACCAAGAGTGGTAATCATCACAGTGGAGGCGCATTAAAAAGGACGATGTTTGATGGGCGATTCAACATGCATATGAAAGGAGCAGAGCAGATGGACAATGCTTTCCTAAACAGAGGGGACAAGGACTCCTCGATGGGGAAAATGCCAACAAGTTCTCTCGTCGAGTTACACCACAAAAATGGTGAAGATATTCTGGGTACACAATTTTATCATTATCTGTCGAGGAGCAACAGCCTCAATAGTTACAATAGGCCGAGTCGCTTTTCCTTTTACGTGCACAGCCTTCGGGATGGCTTGCCCACCTGGGACGCGCAAAACCATAGTAGCTGCAGCAACGGAGGCACAAATTATGCGAGCGCTAAAAATAGCCAAAGCAATGATGAGAGTAACGGAAGACACAATAACGACACGGATGGAAGGGGTAGCAATAACAGCGGGGGGTACAGCCAGAGTGGCGGCGCTGGAAACAACGGAATCAGTCGAAGCAATGACAGCGGAAGTAACGATAACGATGGTGATGACGACAAAAATGGGGAGCATCGAAATAGAGGGAAAAAGGATTATTATGATGAGAAGGAAGACGAGGAAGACGAAAATGAAAATCAAAATGACGGACGTGGGAAGGATCAATGTGCCGACCATGCCAATAAAGACATTTTGCAAGATGGTGGAGAAAAACGAACAAGCAATCAGTTTAATATGAACCCGGATGTGTGCGAAGGTGCTCAACATAATGAAGCCAATCAGAGTAATTCTCAAAATCTTGTTGATGATCCTAATGCACATTCGCGGAGGAACGAACGGATGGAATCCTTTCTGGAGAATCACCAAATGATGGAGTCAAGCATAAACGAAGCGAAGTACGAGGGGCATGGGAACAGTTCGGGGGGCCCCAATCGGGCCGGCGTGTCGCAGCGTATAGGCGTAGCTGGCGGTGCGATCAATGTGGACACGGTGAGCAGCCAGCCGAACAGGTCAAACAGGGCGAATCGGACTAGTCAGCATAGGAAACCGAGCCAGCCAAACCAGCCGAACCAGCCGAGCCTCCTTGACAGTCCCCTCTTGGCCAACTCGTGCAACTTCATCCCCTTTGGCGGCCAAGTCAGCTTCCCCCACCCAGCCAACTACGGCCACTATGGGGGGTTCGACAACTTTGGAAACTACGGTGGTTACAGCAACATTGGCGATCGCAATTATGGGGGTTACTCCAACTGTGGCAACTTCTTCAGCTCGTACAGTAACGGCAGGGACGACAGAGAAGTAGCGAGAAGTGCCCTAACGCATAGCATCGCAGAGACGTCAGAGGGGAGAAGTAGAGTCTTGCCGCGAGACGAAGTGAGGATTAGAACCGGTGCAGGTTCTCCTATGGGTACAAATAACCAGGTGAAGTTTCATAACCAAGAAAATAACTGGATGAGCAACGGGATGAACAGCCGGGCGAACAACCCGATAAACAACCCGATGAGCAACGAAATGTACGCCCCGCACACAGACGCAGACAAAAACGGAGGGGAAAGGAACAGACCGAATTGTAAACCCAGCATGGTAAACATGGCTGAGAAAAATGAAAGTATGGAACATGATTTGATTAATTTCACGAACAGTGCATACGTGGATATACACAAAATAATACAAAATGACGATTTGTTGAAAAATGAGTTGTCCGGATTGGAAGAGTCTCTCCAGGTAGCCAACGCAGCGACAAAAGGTAGTAAAAAGAATGCATCGAAATATAACTCCAACGAATTAGAAATTTTAATGATGTATGATAGCTGTAAAAATATGCTTAAGTCGTGCAGCATGTTACGGAGTGAAGAATTAAAAAATGCAGATGGGGATGAGTATCTGGTGAATGAAACGTGCATCCCGCCCAACGTCTTAACAAACAATGACATGATGAGCGATAGTTTGAATGCCGATATAGAGAAAATCATTGATATAATGAGCACAAGTAAGGTGAAAAATAGGGGGGAACAGCACACATGTAGTGCACCCACTATGGATGAAAAATGGAGCGAGGTGGATATAAATATATCATCCTCCATTGTGTTATCCCGAAAGGGGGGGGATACCTCCCCCCCACCCCCAGTTCCATATACTTCAATTTTACTTTTCTTTTTTCCTTTTCTTTTGCGCCAAAGACATGCAGGCAAAAGGCAAAGACAAGAAGCGGAAGCTGAGCTCCATGAGCTCCCCCCCAAACGACCGCACCTTTCCCAACGGGGAGAAGAAGCCAGAATATATGGGGGAAAAGTCCAACTCGAAAAAAATGCCCAGAAACTCAGAAGATAAAAGGAAGAAGTATCAAAAGATGGATATAAGGACACTAAACAAAAATGTCCAGAAAAATAAAGAGGTGTGCAAAAATTGCTACATCCATTATGACAATAGTAAGTCCAGTTATATACTCACGTTCATAAATAGGAAGCAGAAAAAGCAAAGGAAGCTCTTCCCTGTCAATCCAAACGAGAAGGACGAGGCCTACGTCATTCAAATTATGAATTATATTGAGAAGCTAAAGGACCAAGAGAAAATTTTTGGAATTAGTAAAAACGACGAGATGGGGGGTGAGGAGGCTAATGTGTACAGAAGCGAGGGAGGGAAAACAGATGCAGACCGACGTAACTACGACAAAGACCAACCGGTGCAGGAAAAACACATGGCCAGCGAACGATACGCAGGAGGAAACGTGCCAAAGAAAAACGAAATGTGCTCGAACAACCTAAACTTGTTAAACGAAAAAATGAATAACTTTCTCAGTGGCATAAACGACCAGCTGTACATGGATCCCCAGATGAATTTCATCCCAGATCACCTGCCATTTATCCAGAACGTCGGAGCAAATCCCAATGTGAGTCACGTCAATATCTATGACGATGTGAATGCCCCCTCCGGGGTTGATTATATGAACTTTAATTTAGTAAATGATGGGAACTCGTTTGAAAATATGCACCTGATGAACCCATGCACAAACAGCGTCCAGAATGTGAACCCTTTTTTTAAGCTCCACTCCAAGAAGGGGGATTTCTCCACGCGGATGAATGGCCAATATGTGGGGGATATCGTGGGGAACGCCATGGATAATATCGTGGGAGGAGAAGTCAACACAGGGGGACAGAATGTCCATGTCGGGGTGGCCACTGATATGAACAACAACAGTGCCAATTGCAGTAACGTCGGTTCGGGAATGAACAGCCTTGGCGGTCGGCGAGGGAATAAGCTTGCCTGTAACCTCAGCGGGGGCAGCCACAACCGGAGCAGCAACAAGCGGAGCAGCCACAGTCGCAGCAGTCACAACCGCGGGAACCGCAACCCTAACAGCCAGAACCCCGGGAACCACTCAGGCAACACCCCCTTCGCACCGAACGTGTACGAAAACACCATGATGCAGCAGGTGATGAAGAACGTCATCTACCCAGGAGACAATAACCAAGCGATGAATCACCAGAAGGGTCCAAGTAGTGGCAACCCTACCAACTCGAACGACCAATTCAGCCCCATGAATATGTTCACGAATGCAAATTTTTCCAACTACAACCAGAGTAACATGCCTAATAGTTGCGAAAACGAAATGATGCATAACTACAATTCAGTGATGAATGACTACGGAAGCAGCATGCTCGTCGAATCTAACTACGATAGCAACCGTGCCACTGCGGGGGGGCATACCATGCAGCACGAGTGAGAGCACTGTGCGGAACGGAAAAAAGGAGAAGAAGAAGAAGAAAAAAAGGAGCAGTTAACAGATGAGTGGGTCACCACATCTAGATCTCATAAATGTCTACAATGGTTTATAAAATTGTTCTACACGTTGGCAATGTCGAATGAGGGAGTATCCACGCGGCGAGCATTCCCATGATATACGTAATCTCTGCAGCTTCGCTGAAAAGGCAGAAATTTTTTTTAAAAAAGATACCTTCGGGTTATTTTTATCTTCCAAAAAAGAAGAAAAAGAAAAAAAATCGAATTAGAGACCCTTTAACTGTGTCTACTAGTACACATCCCATTTGAAGTTTTGATGTTTATGATTTCCAAAGCAGGCGTGCATTCGCAGCTGCGTTTGCACCTGCATCTGTACTTGCGCAAAATAAGCAACTGAAAAAAAAAATTCCACCAGAGGTTGTTCCCACGGAACAGCTCTGTGGCGAACCAAGGGGTAGGAAGATATGCCCACGCATTTGCTTCCTTTGCATCCCCCGTTACCTATATGTATCCCCTATTAGAGGCATCGAAACGGGAAGGCGCGCGCATGTATTTTTTTTCTTCCTTCCGCGCCCAGCACGAGCAGATGCCATTATGTGTAAATACACACTACTATTTGTGCATCCCTGTTCAGCTCTATTTGTGTGTCCTCTTCTTCCTTTTGGTAGTTGTAATTTTTTTTTTTCGCTGCGCTGTACCAAGCTTGTTACCCACTTTTTATTTTTTATTTCCCATTTGAGTTTTGCTAACATCGTGTGAACTTCTTTTCCCTTTTGGACAATTCGACCCTTTGTTTTTTTGTATAAGAAAATGGGGAGCGCATAAAGATGGAGAAGAGGCCCCTCGTCAGGTTGAAGACCACTTATGACGAAGCCCCATCTGCCAACAATTTTCCACATGGTAAATTTTAAGATCCCCTCCTTGTTTCATCACGACGGACATATGATATCCCCTTCGGGTCGCCGGTGCGAATAGAAAACTTTCATTTCCAGGGGGGGAGGAAGTTATACAAAAGGTCAGAAGTGTCTTCACACCACATGTTCGTACTCTTCGTCGCTTTCGCCGAGCGCATGACATTTGTATTTCTTACTTGCCTTCCCTATTTGTACAATTGGGTTTTTCTTCCTCTGTGTAGGTGGCGCTATCCTTTCCGCGGCAATGGCATCGGTAGAGGCGCCCCCCCCTGGAATGTCTCCCTTCTGACAGGTGTCCCGAAAAAATAACTTGCGCAAATCTTTTATGTAATTCAAATTTTTCCTTTCTTTATTGGCCAAGTAACTGTGGACGTTACTCGCGTTAATGTCATTCGCCTTCTTCAGTGCCATCTCATTCCGGTACTCATTTTCCCGTTCGTTAAGGTAATCATTGAACTGTTGAATCTTCACGTGGTCTTTGTTCTCCGTTATTTTCATGTTCACTAGGTCGATGTCGATGTTTATGTCGTCTGGGGGGAGATTCGATGGGGGAAGATTCGATAAGGAAGTATTCACCCGTTAAAGGTGAATAATGTAATGTTCGCATCCTGCACTATACTACGCGACAACGTTGTGGAAGGGTAGTCCGTCCACCTAGGAAGACTGACTTGGAGGCATTCCTTAATACGCCCCTCCACAAAGACGGAAAAGGGTGAGTAGAGTAAAAGCTTTCTGCTTACCATACTTCTTCCCAAAAATCTCGTAGTACTTGTCTATTATTTCATTTTTTATTTCATCGTCATAATTGGAAAAATGTACATTGGGGTTATTAAACTCCTTTTTGATGTCATCCTCGAACCAGTCAATGCTGTCATCTATTATTTTTGTGTGTTCCTCGTTGAGTGAATTTCTCAGCATTTTGTCCCTCAGGTTGAAGGCTGTAAAGAAGGGGGGGAAGCGCACAAAGTTGTGGAGTGCCAGCAGGGTTCACTCAATCAGGGTACAGAAGGGGGGGTAGAAGCTGCTAATGCGAATAGTGTAGCCCATGGACACATTCGAGAGGGCCCCTTTTGCAAATCTGCACTTATTTTGAGCTACCTTTCTTGAGAAAGGCATTACTAGGATCGAAGTAATTTTTGTAGAGAAAGGGGTTGGAGTCTTTCATCGTTGCAAGGATCTTCTTGTAGGCATCTTCACCATTCTCTGTCGGGGTAAACAGATTGTTAATCAGAGTCGAATCGTACAATATGTTCCCACAAAAAAGGCACTGTCTATATTTTATTTTCGTGCAGTAAATCTTCCCGCATAGTAAGCAGTTGGCATATATCTGATGGCTGCTCCCATTGCATGTACAAATATGTGTGTTTTTTTTTTTTTTTTTTTCTTTTTTCTGTTCCTCCTTTTCGTACTCGTTCTGCTCGTCACTTTTGGCCTGGTCATTTTCGATGAAATCTATAACTGTCTTCAATGAGTAGGAGTTTTCCTTCATGTTGAAGAAGGCGAAGTAGTCACTTTCGGAATTCCCCTTCCGGTTCGTCGTGGACTTTGTTTGGTCGTCCTCTAACTGGGTGCGACCGTCTTCATGCCCATGCTCCACCACTTCGAATTTTGTTGCGCCCTTCCGTTGGTTTACCTTCCCTTGGGCTTCTTTCCACTTTTGTGATTCTTCCTTTTGGGGGGTTACCCCATTTGGCTTATCACCATTCGGGGAGTGATCGCCCCGTTTGCTGTTTTTCTCTTTGTTCACTTTTGTCGATGCTTTTTTTGGCCCCGTCTCGTCTGCCAACCTTACTGCCGCATCGAGGGGGTGCTCCCCACCATGGGTGGTAGCATCGTTGGTGCTTGACCCCGGTTCATGCTCATTTTGGTCTCCTTCCATTTGTCCGACCCTTTTTACCTTCCTAAGACCCTCTCTATTAGGGAGGACCTTTCCATGTTTATCCTCACTGGGAATCACTCTGTTTGTTCCTTTCCTGCTAGGATGAACATCTTCCCTCTTAAAAACCTCCTCGAAGTAGCTGTTGATGGTTTTCCCTTCTACCACGTTGCCAGGTGGGCCATTCCCTGCGATAGAGCCATGGTTGGTAGTAGTCTTCCCATATGAGACGCCCCCCTGTGTTGCCCTACCAACCGAGTCGTCCTCACTAGAGCATATAAACTTCTTCTTGTCTTCTACCAAATCTAGGGTAAACTTTTGCACAGTGCTGAGGGAGCACTTTTCATTTCTTCCATTTTCGTAAAACGATTCATTGAGGAGGTAAATGGATCCATACAAGTCATACGACTTACAGTTGAGGATAGATTTAATGTAACTGGGATCGAGTTCTTCATTTTTCAGATTAAAAAATTTGATGATTTTCCTCCTTATATGGTTTGCGTACTTATCTTTTTCATCCATAGTTATCTGTTTGGGGGCACCATTCTTTCCGTTTTCGTGCAGGGCTGCATCCTTCCCCTTTCTCCGGCGTGTTTTTCTACACGAAAGCGCGGTTGCTCTTACATTAGGGAAAGGTTACAAAGTATGTACAGGGGATGCGAGTTTGTTCCTCCTTCCCCAGGGTGTCACAGAGGTGAATGGAATGGACAAAGCAAGTTTGTAAAAAAAAAAAAAAAGAAAGTTGACACATAAAAATGGTACACGTCAAATGTTACAAGCTCTACGCAGACTTTGGTACTTAACAGCGTGACATTGTTCCTTTTGCCTTGGATGTTGCTCCGGGCGGGATGAATAATACTCCCCTTTATGGTGATGGCAAGAAGGGGAAAACAAAACGGAAAGTGGAAAAACGCAGAGAAATAAGCGCAGTTGCACTCCAGTGGCGCACGTTATTGCTTCGCCAGGGGAGCTGGGTGCCATTTTTTTTTTTTTTTCTTGTTACTGTGCCTGCGAAAGGGGTGAAAAAAAGGGAACAAAAGAACACCTTACGATTAGCGGTGGATGACCTGATGATGACCTAAAAGAGACCTGATGCGGGTGGTACACAACAAGAAACGGACGGATACATGACCTGAGCATTTTTCGTGCTTCTATTGCGGTTCGCCGCCCCCGTTGCTACAATGTCACTGCTTTGATTTCTCACCCTTCCGCTTTTTCGTGGCTGATCGAAGTTGAACTGTGCAGCCTGTCTCGCGTCGCAACTGCGCGCGAGGAGGGCAGCGAGTGGGGGGCACAAAAAAGGTTAGCAGCAAGTAGGGGGCACAGAACAGGTGAGCAGACAAAATGGACGAAGCGAAAATGGGCGAAACAAACAAGGGGGGATTAATAAAACAAACAAATTGGGGCGTCCAAGACGAGATGGCACAAGGGGGAGGGAGGAAGCGCCCCAAGTCACGCCTTGAGCAGAATGGAAAACCAACCATTGAAGGTCTTCTTCCGGTTGTTGCCACACACAATGTTCTTCAAATTTGTGAGCGAATTCAAAATGAAAATGCTGCGGTCACTATTCTTTTGCTCATTAAGATATGCGAGAATGTGCCGTTCGTACGAGCAGAGGAGATGCCTAAACTGCAAGAAGTGCAGATTGACTAAATCATTGTCGCTCTGTTTCTTGGCGATGATGTTCTTCATGGAGTTAATTTTTGCAGTAAGGCTGCTTAATTTATCATTTGTGTCTACATTCGCGTAAAATATGTCCTTAGCCAAAAATAGCGTTTCTGTAATTTTCTCCTCCGCTAGATAGTTGCTGTTGAAGGAGAGCAGTATGAGGACATCATTTGCTCCCAGATTTTCGTAAATGTTCTCAATGTTTTGGCTTAATTTTTTTACAATGGCACTTGCTTCAACTCTGGTGGGAACTTGGAATAGCTCACCATTTGCATCGACTTTGAAATTTTCCTCCTTGGCATTTTTTACACAAGTGTAAATTTTTCGATTGCACAGATTTTCGTACTCTCTTAATATGAGTAGGTAATTTTTTATTTTATTTTTATTTTTGATATTCATGATTACGTTTTCTACACACTCGTCGTCATTTTCGCATGGACAGTGGAAGCAGTTTTTTAGAAATTGCTTGGGCAGCTTCTCCTCTATGTATTCGTTCTTCGCGTCATATATGCACAGGTTCTTCTCATACTTGTGGCTCACGCTGCCGTTGTATATGATGCTTCCCTTCACGTTGGTGAAGTTATCCGGGTTAAGGAAGCCGGGCAGAGGCTGGTACTGGTAGAGGGGATCGGCCGTGTCAAACTCGCTCATCTGCGGGGGGAGGGGGGCGGAAAGAGTGGCATGAGTGGGGAGAAAAAGCGGGTCACACAAATGCGCAACACTGACGAAGGATTGACGGGACACAATCGCGGCGGTACCTTCTTCAGCGCGAGGAACATGCTTATCTTCGCGTCGTCAATCGAGTTGTGCCCCTTTTCTCGCTTCATAGTGATGCCCAAGTGGCGCTGGCACAGGTTAAACAAAGAGGGCTTCAAAAAGCAGTAGGCTGAGTTAGAGTAAACCACGGAAGTGTCAATGACGTGGTCGTGGTGAATTCTCAGTGCGTGAAAATCATTCTCTAGGGAGTGTCCAATTAAAATGGATTTTTTATTAAAAATTTTTTTCAAATTTTCCTGTACATCTTTCAATTTTGTATGCACATTTTGCAGTGTACTTTCACTTATGCCCGAGTAGGGAGTTAAGTAGTTTGTGATTTGATTGTCCGGCACGACATACGAGTCGTAGACTATGTTCATGTACGCATCGACAACCGTAATTTTGGTGAGCTCTTTTTTTTTATTTATCGTTTCGCACATCTCGCAGTCGATGCTGTAAATGTTGTCTAGGTCGAACTGGACGGGCGGTTGGCACTTGGGGGAATTGGAGCCGTTGGGGGCATTAGAGCAGCTGGCATCATCTCGTCCTTCGTTGGTGATTCCACTCCGACCGCCTTCCTCACTCGAAGTCCTGAGCCCTCCATTCACCTCCCCATTTTGCAGAGGCACGTCGGTGGCCCCGTCTCCATTTCCGTTCTCTCCTCCGTTTAAAATTTCGTCCTTCTGGTGTTTCTCCTCATCGGACTCGTTTAGCGACTCCGTTTTTTCCTTTTCCTTTGGATCACTTGCTTGGGTACGTTGCCCCTTTTTTTTTTGTGGTGCCTTTTGGGAGGCCCTAAGGAGCTTCTCCAACACCTGGGCATACATCGTTATATGTTCCTCGGTGAAGATATTTTTCGTCTCTTCAATGGGCTGTTCCGAGTCTGTGGTTTCCCCATTTGGGTGTTTCCCCTGTGGTGAGGCACCTACCGGTTCTGTGACAGGTAAGGTCGTCTTGTCAGAATGTGCTAATCCATCTGGGATGCCATTCCGATCAGGACTGATACTGGTGGTGGTATTCATTGTCTTGTTTAAATAGGATCGCATGTCGGTTATTCCTTTGTCCACCTTCACATATTCAATGTTTTCGAAACTAAGGTACTCTTCACAGTTCTTTTTTGGGTACCTATTCAGCAGCATCTGCTCATTGTTAAGTAAATAATTTTCGATGTAGAAGGTATCCCCGGGGGAGTTATAATTTGTTCCTTTATTTTTCATCACGGGCACACTTAGCGCTTTTAAAATTAAACTGCTGTAATTATTTTTAAAACAATTTTCGGTGTATATTTTCCTAAAGTTGTTGTTCCTCTGCAGTTTGGAAAAAACACCGCTGGCAGAAATGTCCCTTATGAACCAACTGGACAAGTTTGGGACTATCACTACGATTAAATTATTTACGCAATCACTATTTTTCACGATAAACAGGTCATTTTTGTGAACAAATTTTTCGATCCGGAGGTTTATGATAAAATTGTGAATATCTTTCAGGTATATATTTCTGTTCCCATAAAAGAGGATGTTCAATTTTCTATTCGGGTCATTTGGTCTATGCGTCTTTTTCGCCGCCCCTTTCGTCGCCACGTTCTCCGCCACATTCTCGGACGCTCCCTCCGTTTTTTTCCTCTTCGTGTTCTGCGTCTTATGGTCACTGTCGGCACTGTTTCCGTTCAGGGGAATTTTCACTTGGTTGCTTCTTTTATGCCTCATCTCTTTTTTGGGGGGGAGCGTCTTTTTTTACTCGTGATGATGATGCTGGTGTGGCGGTGGCCTCGCTTCCTTTCCAGTTAGGTGTTTCCTCTCTACTGTAAGTCGCACGTCCTGGTGCTTCCCCCGTTGGAATAAAAATTTACCTGTACAACTGGCGCGAGATTGTGTGGCGGAAGGGGGGTGGATGCATTGGTCTGCTCATGTGCTTTTATATGTGCATAGCGTGACTGCAGTTAGATTCACGTGGGCTAACTTATGCGCGCGGTGCGCGTTAGTGTGACTGCTGAGAGTGAGCTGTCCTGGTGTGATGTGGGCAATGGGTTCCCCCCCCTGCATTTGCATCAAATGGAGATGACGTTACAAAGGAGGTAGCACTGCGGTGAAACTGTTGCAAAGCTCCAACGAACCTTCACTTAAAGTGTGTCCACCGTCAACGCGACGAGGCAGGCTCGTTATGGAACCCCTTCTCAAAATTACATCTCTTTTTTGTTCCTCCAAAAATACAATTATTGCATTCGTCTGTTTCAAGTGCATCGGCAAGAAGCGTTTTTAAAGTGTGATGAGCCACTGCAAGCCAGTTGTTGGGGGGGAAACGGACTTGCATCCTTGCGCAGAGTACAATCCAATATAGCGTTTGCCCAGAGCCAGCAGCCTCTTATACAATAATGCACGTAACTTTTTTATGGGCATTATATTTTACGGGCAAAATAATCGCCACTGGGTTTTTGGCGGCTGCTCCAGAGTAGGCGCGGGGAAAAGAAGTACCCTACGCCTGCTACCACGATTGTGATAAGTGTGAATGGATTGCCATTTTATGCTTAAAATTGCTTCCTTTTAATATTATTTTTTTTTTTAAGGTTGCGCGGACGGAGCTGCCGCTCTTGCGATCCGTTCGTTTTGGTCGGCGGGTTGGTTCAAAAAAAGGGAAAAAAAAAGCACAGCACAGGAAAAAAAAAAACATAAATACATACATACATGAATACATAAATACATACATGCATACATAATACATATATACATGCCTAGCGGCATAGCAACGTACGCGTACGTCCCTTCAAATCTGATTTGCAACGCCCCCCTGCGTGAAAACGAATCCGCTTTTGAGATAGTCCCCACAAGGGTCCTTCATCCCGAACTAGGAATCCGCAACAAAGTGTTTACACCCAGCACAGCATGCTGGTGGAAAGGCTCTGAAAAGTTTGCACGATCATTTCGACATGCAAAAGGCGTTTTGTGGTGAATGTAAGGGCGTAGGAGAAAATACGCCTCTATTGCTTATCGGAAGTGGAGAAAGACCACTCCCCCGATTTGCAAACCTCTGACCATTTAACCGGGGTAGCCTTATCGATACATTTTCACAATTGGGATACGTCACCCACTGGTAGAGCAAGTCGGCATGAAGGCCAACTATCCATACGATGCGCTGCCGATACTTACTCAGATGCATACGACGCCAGCATGAAGGAGCTGTGATCAGAGTTTCCCTAAAAGCAATACATGGAATCGGAACAAAACTCAATTGGACACCGACACTTCTCCTTGCAAGAAACTCTTTATTCTGTTCTGTAAGCTACAAGAATCCATTTTTACATCAACGTGCTGCTCCATATACGTGGCGTGTTCAATGGGATGATTGGGTAGGTAAATATTATGAACAGACAACTGGTGCCTGGAAATGTAATTCTTCTCTATTAGGTAGTTATTGAAGTGGGTTGAAAATCCACCTACAGTGTTGTCCTCGTAGGTAATGTGTACGTCATGTTTATTCTCCTCAATGACGTAATCTATTATTCTTTTATCCATTGGGTTTAGGAAAATCATGTCAATAATTGAGAAGGAGAATTTGCTGGAGAGAAAATGATCCTTTTCGATTTCTTCGATCGCGTTGAGCACATTGAATAGCATACTGCCCATGTTAAAAATGGCCACTTTGTTTTTGCCCCCTTGGCTTGGTTTTTTTTCCTCTCGGGTCATTTTGATAATTCGCGCCTTTCCGAAGAATGTTTGCATATCATCGTTGGGGGGATTTTCCCCGGTGTTTGGCCCTTCCCGTCCCACTTCGCCGCTTCGCCATATGTCGTCGCCTCGCCCTACGTTTTCACCGCCCTGGGGCTGCACCCCGATGCGGAAATACCGCTGCAGGTACTCCTCCGTGAAGGTGTTAATCCTGGGGAGGCGAACAAACACAGATCGGTTCACATCGTGGTAGCAAAATTTGAGGGCCTTCTTCAAGTCCACTTGGTTGCTCGGAGATATAATGCATGCGTTGTTCAAGGCACCCAAAAGAGTAAGGTCGTAGATTCCTTGGTGGGTAGCTCCATCCTCGCCGATTAAGCCACTCCTACCGACAATAACCTTTAACGGGACCTTCTGCAAATTCAGGTCGTGTATTATTTGATCATATGCTCTTTGCATAAATGTAGAATAAATGCTCAGATGAATTTTTAAGGATTTATTCATGGCCATGGCTGTTGCGAAGGTTACTGCGTGCTGCTCTGCGATCCCGACGTCGTATACATTATTGGGGTACTTCTCGCTGATCTTTACTAATCCGGACCCCCCTAGCATGGCTGGGGAAATGAAGATGATATTTTTATCTCGCTCCAAATAGGTTAGCATTTCTTCTGTGTACACATCTGTGAAGGTTTTCTTGGAGAACATCTTATCCTGTTGTGCTGTCCCGGAGTTACATTTGCCACCGTGCGTTCTATCACTCTGGTCATGGGGGCTGGGTCCTGGAGAAGCAACATCCCTCCCATCGGAGCTCAGCGTATCCACATTGAACGGAAAAATTTCATTCTTCTTAATAGAATGCATCACAGTTATCGGGGCCCTCGTGTTTATAAACTCACTGGTCTTGCTAGTACAGACATGCAATACAGTGGCTCTCTTCATATTGCCCTCTTTAAAGGACGACAACGTGTTGAAGAGGGCTTCTGTGTTGTTTCCGTTTTGGACTTGCACATAGTCGTAGTTCAAATTTTCGAAAATGTTGTTCTTTCCGCTACCAGTGGAATGGTGGCTGTCTCCTTCTCCACTTCTGCTTGTGAGAAAGCTGCGCAGATGGTCAGAGATGGAGCCGATTGGTCGATGCCCCGAGATGCTGGGTGCATTAGTGGGCAGAGAGACCTGCCCATTGTCATTATAAATAATTAGCACTTTGGAATTTAAAAAAGAAATGTAATTTAGAGCTTCGAGTGCCATACCACCGGTTAGGCCCCCGTCCCCAATGATGGCAATATGCACTTTGTTCAAATGATCAACTGAGTTATTTCGACCAGGGTAGGCACTCTTCTGTGTGGTCCCTCCTCCATTCGGATGACCCGCATGATGATTCTGCCCTGCATGGATTGTGTCCCCTTCACCAGGTTGGATAAAAGAGATATTTTTTTTCTCTTCATCTGGGTGTGCTTCTTTCTCTTCCGATTGAGCGATGCTTCTCTTCTGAGATATCTGCCAGTCGGCTTCGTAAAATCCCTGGATTGCACTCAGTGCAGTGGAGCTATGTCCGGCCCCAAACTTGTCGTAGGTGCTTTCAAAAGTGTTTAAAAATCCACATATTCCCTTCTTCTGTCTTAGCGACAAAAAAAGCAACTTCCTCCCCGTGAGTATTTTGTGAACGTAAGCCTGATGTCCAATGTCGTAGATCACGTCTTCATGGGGTTGATCAAACAGGTACAGTAACAGAAGCTGCACCTCTAGCAAGCTAAGCCCAGCAGAAAAATGACCACCAGTTATATTAACCATGAAGAAAATAAACATTTTTAATTCGTGAGCCAGAAGAGGGAGGTACTCCTTCTTCAATTTTTTCAAATCACTTGGATTGTTGATTAAATTTAGTAGAGGTAAATAACTTAGGATTTTGAGAATCTTCTTGATGTTCTTCCTTCCGTAGTAATCTTTACTAATGTTGTTTATTAGGACTCCATTTCTTTGGAACTCCTCTCGGATTAGTTTCTCAAATTGGTGATCATCATATTTGTCTACCTCCAAAGCGACGCTCTTCTCCGTCGGTTCAATGAAGAACAACTGTTCATAATTTTCGGGGACATCCCTATGTACGTATAATTTAACTATATGGTTATAAATTTCCTCGCCATATGTATCTTTGTACTTTTTCACATCTATGTAGCTGTTTATTTGATCAAAGAGGGCATTCAAATTGGTGGGGTCCTTAACATCATCGCTCTTTTCATTCCCACCTGTGAGTTGTGGCTCTCTCCCGGTTTGTCTATCCTCGTTCTTGACGCTGAACAGCTTCTTTCCTAGAGTCGCAGTGGTGGAGTAGTCCCCCGGTGGGTTACCTTCACAGGTGTGTAAAAAGGTCGCCTTCCCGGTGATAAAACCGTCCCCCTTTCTCAGGCCATACTTCTGCAACTTCTTCAATTGCTTTAACTGCCTCAACTGCTTCAAATTGGTGTAATTTATGAAGAACACATTCAGTGGTTTAGGAGTGGGTGCGTGTCTCGAGCTACCACTGATTCCACCACGTGAATTTTGATTTGCGTTAGCGGAGTAGCGGTATCCATTCTGTATGCACCATTGTGTAGCTCCCTTAAGGCTATCTATGCTTTGGTCATCATGAGGGGGGTTCTTCCCTTCTTGTACTGCTCTTTCTTGTCGTACCCTTTCTGCTTCCACCTCATTGCAATGCCTCCCCCTGAGACAGATCTCATTTTTTATTTTTAATTGATTCCACTGTGTAGCATCACGCTTGAGCAGCCTGCCACTATTGCCATTCGGGTCATACCCAGAGATGCCAAAAAAGCAGGGAAAGCTGTCCTTAAAAAATTTACACAAATAATGCTTTTTCGTGGTAATCCTGTTTAACTGCTTCAGGTACTTGACGTTTCTACTTACTTCGCATTTGCCGCTGGTGGCGTTTAAACTGACATACATGGAGGTGATGATCAGTGCGAACAAAAACAGGAGAGAAGACGTTACCATTAGCATGGTGGTAAGTCACTGCATCATATGGTAGGCGGGCGGGCGGAACTGCGTCAAATCGATGCTTGTGCCGCGTCAAATCGATGTTTCCGCCTCAACGGGGAGGGGAGTTGTGGAGGGGGCTTTTTAAGGGGGAGTTTCTTCATGGCTTTTGAAGCGGTGAAGTGGGGGATCGGAAAATTGGGGGAGCAGCGAAGCAGCAGGTCCAGTTCCTTTCACCGCTTGAAAAAACGAGCCGACAAAAAAAAAAAAATTTCAAAATATTAACAAACTGAAGAACAAACGAACTGACTAACGAACGAGCGTGTCATGTTCCTTCACGCGGTGGCTCACCCAACAAAGCGCTGCACTTCGCGACAACGATGCCTCATTATGGGACTCGCAAAACAACTCCGCATGGGGTGCATGCGCCTGCCCGCACATCTTCCTGCACAGCGGGTTTTCCGGGAAGCGATCCGTCGGAATTGCATACGTTAGCTCGTCAGTCATACCTCTTCTATCAACTTAAAGAATGCTTGAAGGCTTTATCTGTGCAATGTCGTTAAAGCAGGGGTGCTTTAGGGCTATCTCGCAGAAAAAGGGGGGGGCGGTGGTGGTGATGGTAGCATAGTCACATGGGGAATGGATGACATTATGTAGCGCAGTAGCGGAGGGGCAGTAGGGACCACACATCAAAATAAGAAATATAGAATGAAAAACGAAGGAATCCAATGTGTAGATGCGCCCCTAAAAAGGATTCCTACTAGAAGGAAGGAAAACTCTTTTGATAAACTCTCAGCCAAAAGTGACGCATGTGCAGAGAAAAACAAATCACTTGTGAAGGGCCAACCAACCAAAGGCAGAATACAATTATGCACATTTGATTGGCAAACCTTTTTCAGCACCCCATTTTAATTTCGAACCTTCTTTTGAAGATATGCGATATGCCGGGTCGTAAATCAGCATTTTTGAAATCAAATCGGCGGCGGCTTCGTCTCGAATTATGTTTTTTAGTTCATTCGTCTGCGAAAGGGGAAACGCTCATGGGGGTGACGTGGTTGGATGGCGCGGCTGGGTGATGTAGTTGGTGTGCTAAAGCAATTTTGTTGCCCTTCCCACAACAGCTACAGCTGCGCGCACCTCAAAATAGGGAAACATCCTATGCCGGTCTTCGTCCCCAACGGACAATTTGCTCTTATCGCCAAGAACCACATAAATCAGATCCAGCTGAAAGGTAACACATATAAGAATGTGCAGTTGAATCAGTTAATGTGCATTTATAGGAGTATTCTAGATGGGGGTTATTATTTATTTTCTTTTTTTTTTGCGTGTGGGGGGTCCCTACCTGTGATTCGTCATTCTTCCCGGGGAATAATGGCCTTGGGATGTTTACACAAAAGAGGCATTTTTTTTTTTGCAAAAAAGGTTGAAGAAGTGAGGCGAGTATTTATGTTTAACACGATGGTGTGGTTCACTCCAACATGGACATTTGCTTGTGCAAAAAAAAAAAAAAGTGTATGAATCCCCCTTCTGCGAGAGACGCAGCAGCAATTACCTGCCCGTTATCAATTCCACGAAAAGACAACCCAAGCTCCATACGTCCACCTTGTGGTCGTAATTCTTCGACTGAAGTAGAATTTCCGGCGATCTGTACCAGCGGGTCACCACCGTGGGAGTCATATTTTCGGTTCTTTCAACAGACAGTCCCAAGTCGCCCAACTTAATTTCTCCACGGGAGTTTATAAATATGTTTTCCGGTTTTATGTCCCTGTGTAGGTAGTTATTTCCATGCAAGTAGGAGGTCGCCAGGAGAAGCTCAAAGATTACGTACTTCACTTCCCGGATGTTCATGCTATACTTCTTCATCAAATTCAGCAGATCGATGTCGCAGTACTCGAAGGCCTTTATGTGGAAAAGCGGGAAAGGTGACGGTCAGTCTGTGGGAATTCCTGCGTATATAAATATATACATATGCACCTTTCGGAGATTTACACTGCCTTTTTTTTTTTTCGTTTTTGGCGTGATTGCCGTCCTACCAGGTATAAACAGGAGTTCTCTAAATTTTCTCCTTTCAGTTTTTCCTCTATATCTCTTCCATAAAAAACGTACTTGAGGTCTATCGGAAGGTGGATGGGGGGAATGATGGATGTGGAGAATGGTGGATGGAGTGCACACTGTGCAAGTCTAACGCATGGGCGTGGTGGTTGCGAAATGCAGAGATGTGTTGGACAGCCCTACTTATAATATTTTTGTGCCGAATTTTCTGAAGGATGGTTAACTCACGCAGGATGCTTTTGCTTATTCCATAGTTGTCATCGCACAAGTTAATTATTTTTTTTATGGCGACAAGTTGGTTCTCATCCTTGTCGAGCGCTTTGTAAACGATGCCTGGGGATGGGGTTAGGATGGTGTGGCATTCCATGTCGTGTCGTGTTTAACTCTTCACCTGTTAATGCCTTCAAATGGCACACGTGAAGGAGCTCGCAGTGGAGAAGACCGACAGCCTCGAAGAAAACCTCACCATAGGTGCCCTTTCCTATTACACACAAAAACTCAAAGTTGGAAATGTCTCTGGGGATCATTTTGGTGAGCTAAACAAAGCAAAACTTCCCTGTGAGAAAATCTCAAGAATGGCTCTTCTACGTTAGATGTAACAACCACATTGGAGTATTCCCAAACTTGGTTAATCTCCAATTTGGAGATCCTCCAAGTGAGCGTAGATGACTTGAAGTGCTCTTTCTTGTGCCTGTTCCTTTTCCCGTTCCTGTGCCCTGCTTCTCATTACCGTGGAAAGAAAAAAGAAAAAGTTTAAAAAGGGCCCAACATGAGATAGCAACTTTTGTGCATTATTTTTACGCTCCGCCATTTCTTCTTATTTTTTCCATGCTGTCGCCACGATATGGGCTTTTCTTTTTTTTTTAGTTTGTTTTTTTTTTGTGCCCCTTCATCGTAGTAGGCGCAAAATTGGGGTTTCCGAAAAGGAGACCCATCCCCAAAATGGTTTGTTCCTCCTCACAAAATGAACACGACATCTGTTCGAAATGTTCATCGCCAAGTTCTCCAGAAAATGTAAAGAAGTGGAAGGGAAAAAAGAAAGGAAACATAAAATTTGGGGGATGTTATTCTAACCGTTCGATGTAGATACAGTGGAAAAGTAACCCTATTGGGGAGGACTCAATTTTTTGCCAAAAAGGGCTATTTCCTATCGTCGCTACGAGGATGGTCCTACTCTTAACTGAGTTGCTGTTAGTTTTAACTTGAGTCTCTTTTTTCTCGTTTGGCCCGTGACAGACCCATCCTGAGGGTGACACACAGACAGACCACATAGCACCACTGGTACACCAGTGTTTTGAGAGTAAAGGCAAATCAATTTTTTGTACTTTATTTGCAAGGAGATGCTGCCCAATCGGGGCATATTTGCCAAAGGAATGATCGTCAACAGCGCGCAGAAGCGGATTCCACGTGAAGCCACCAGACCCAAGGCGACATGATGAGCCGCAGGTCGTGTCAGCTGGTTGAGGTCGTGTGTCGTGGGCCGCCGTTTGAAGGTCTAAAATGGTGCACTATTTCTGGAAATTTTCGTTGCACCTTTTTGAGCATATTCCCCGGGGGAACATCCCGGAGGAATTTCTTCTTCAAAAAGGAGAGCGACAGAATAGGAGAAACGACAAATTTGCTGGCAAAACTGAATTTAAAAAAATTCGTAAAAAAAGGAAGAAATGAGGGAGGGATAACCTACTCGAAGGAGGCAGAGCGGAGAAAGAAGAACTGTTCTGGTCAATCGTCAGACCAAACGGATAAGGAACATCTTCAAAATGTAGACACGCTGACCGAAGGCGACGTACAAAGAATTGATAAAATTCTTGCAGAGTTCACCAGAGAGACAAAGCAGCGAAATGGAGAGGGACACCTGCTAGAACTGATCGGATTAAGAAGCAGCGGAGAGAACATCAAAGAAGCCTGTCTGGTCTGCATACGTGCATGCGATATGATTCTAAAAAAAATGTGCAAAGAGGAAAACATCTTCAAAATCGTTAACATGGTAGATACCGTTTCAAATAATTTATGCAAATTAGGAGACGCACTGGAAGTGCTGAGGAATCTGCACACAAACCAAGGGGTGATGGCGAGGGCACATGAGGCGTTGGAGAAGCTAACCAGCTACATCGACATAGTTAACATTGACGAGGAAATCTACCATTTTTTAAAAACAAAATATGAGCAACATGCACATAAGCTAGATCAGGAGCACGCCGAAGTTCTCCTCAATATGATCGTGTCCATGGAAAACCAAGGGGTCCACATAAAGGATAAGAAACAAAGACTAGAATATTTGGAACTCCAGGCACAAGAAAAATATATTTCCTTTCATGCTACACAGAACGTGGCAAATGAATATGACGGTGTGTTCATACAAAAGATGAGACTGCTGCCTTTTATCGAGGAGCAGGTGATACATAATTACCAGGAAAAAATAAAACCTCTTATTGAAAGTGGAAAAGTAAAAAAAAATTACACACGTGAAAGACTCGACTCAGCCGAGTGGGTATTTCTCCTCCAGGACAGCTCCTTCATCATGACGGTGCTTGAAAATGTCAATGATGAAGAGGTAGCAAGGAGCGCCCACGCGCTACTGAAGAAGCCAAACCAGACATTCCTAAAAAACATACTGGTTCTGCAGTATTATAGAGATATGCTAACCCAATTTCGCAATTTTAAAAACTTCAGTGAGTACTCTCTAAAAAATTGCATCCTAAACAGCCCCGACAAGGTCCACTATTTTCTGAGGAATTTTTTTAATACTATTTTGCCCCACTTTTTTGAAGAGCTGCGGTTTGTGGAGAGGTACATCGAAGCGGTTTCATCCAGAGGGAAGAAGACAAAGGCGAAGCGTTCCCACAGCGGTGCAGTGCACGGTGCGGTGGAAGGCGCCCCAGAAAACGTCTCCGAAAGTACCTTAGAAACCCCCAAGCAGTGGTGCAACACAGCTGATAACCACCCCTGTAGCAGGGACGGAGAAGGAAGGCACTCCAAGCTAACCCCGGAAAACGTGTTCTACTACATGAACCAAATACGGAAGGAAAAGCTCAAACCGATCGAGGCGAAAATGAAAAACCGCTTGACTCTGTATCAGGTCATTCGCTTTGTCGTAAACCTCTTGAAGGATTCCTACCTCTTGGAGATGGTGAACGTTGCGCCGTTGCCGAACGAACTGTGGGACGAGAGCATATTAAAATTTGAGATAAGGGACGGGACCTACACATACGGTTACGTATATATGGACCTGTTCGAGCGAGAAAACAAGAGCCATTCAATTGCTCAGTACACCGTTCGGTGCTCCAAAAATATGAACGCCTGCTTGAAGCACCAGTGGTTTGAGGAAAGCGCGCGCGAGTTTCCCTTCTTCTACACGGGCATCGTGCGGGGCGGCATAGACATCGACACGGACAGGGACATCGGAAGTGGAACCACCCACGACACGGCCAAGTGCCCATCAGATGGGAGGAGACCTCACACACAAACCCACCAACAACCACAGCAACAACCCCACCAACAAACCTACCGACAGACCACGTCGACCTTCCTTGTCTGCAACTTCAGTATAAAATTGAGCGACCTCGAGGGGACAGCCTCCGCGAGTAAGCCCCCTCAGGATAACATCTTCATAAATGAACAAATAGCCAACTCACTTGGAAGAATAAAAATGTCCCTCGACAAGGTCAACATCTTTCTGCACGAATTTGGGCACACACTCCACTGCATACTGAGCTCCACATATCTGCAGCATCTGTCTGGAAATAGGGGTGGCGTAGACTTCTCAGAGTTCTCGTCTCACTTTTTTGAGGAATATTTAAACAGTTACGATGCGTTGTTGCGACTGTATGGAGGGGATGGTGAAGAGGCGGAGGAGAGCCATGAAAAGACGGAGACGATGGTAAAAAGTTATTTGGATAGAAAAAATATTCTCTGTTATTATTTCATCATGCAAGTTACGATTCAGTCCATCATTGACCAAATTTTTTATTGTCTGTCGGACAAATCCAGTTGCATTTCTGAGAGAAATGACCTAATTGAGAAGAAAATAAATGAGTACTTCTCGGGGGTGTACTACAAGGACATATTCATACTCGAGTTATTTCCGCAGATTCATTTTTCCAAAACGACACATCTGGTGCATTATCCTGCCAATTATTTCTGTTATCTGTACTGCTCCGTGTTGTCCAAATATGTTTGGGAACGGACGTTCAAGCGGGATTTGATGAATCGGGCGAAGGGCGCCGAAATTGTGAACTTCATGCGCGGGGTGCGTCCTACACTGCGTCTTTCGCGTGACGATCCGGTTGTGCATACATAGATATGTTCCCACCACAACATGCACTTGCTTAAATGTACGGATAGACATGTGTCTTCTTCTTTTTTTTTTTTTTTTTTTATTTGCTACTCCGCAGGGCTCGGTCAACTCCAGCTTAAGAAACATCATTGCACTGGTGGAAGATGACTTGGAGAAGGTTGAGTACTACACGGAAAATCCGCAACACCTGCCACTTGACGATTTTTTGGAGCATTACTCGGGTGAAAACAAGAACGAGGAATACAACTCCTTTTTGGAGGCCCTCTAAATGGACAAAAAAAAAAAAAAATATAAAAATATAAAAAAAAAATTCCCCCCTTTTTTTATCGTGAAAAAGTGAAAGTTGTTACACTTGATTCAACTCGTGCACAGAAATCTATGCGCAAATTTGTTCTACGAAATGGATTTGTGTTAATGTTATTTTTTTTTTTTTGTTAAAGCGACAAGAGTATGAAGTTAAAGATTGTTCATCCTGTTACATGTGCCAGTTGACTTTTTAATTTTACTCCCCTTTGGTGGAGAATAAAATACGCGCGCAATGGTCTTTGCGACGTGGCGTTATTTTCGCCCAACCTTCGTCCTCACGACAAAAAAAAAAAAAATGAGTTTGTGAATGAATGAAGGCATGTCCATGATGCGGAAGAGGCACATCTCGGACGGTCAAAGAGGAAACGATACGGTTTTGCCACTCCTTGCGTGTGAAATGTCGCTTAGCGGTGGGACAAGGACGACGTGGTTACGCGAAAAAGTAATAACGGAGAAAAAGAAAAAGGGGCACGGGAAGAAGTAGCATCTCCGTTTCAGTAGAACATGTGCTGCTGCTGCATGATCATATGGTCACTTATGCCCCATTTGTCCATTTTCCCATTTACCCTGTTTCCACGTTGCCCTCCTCGCCGCATTTTTTATCCGAGCACGACGAGCTGCACGTCATACCTAGGAAGACCCAATCCACTTAGCAATTGTCCCATCCACGCCTGGTCGCGCACGCCGAGTTGAAGGCTTTTGTCGCGATGAAAGGGTGAAAAGGGAAAAACGAAAAATTTAGGTTGAAAAATTAAGAATAAAAAAGAACTAACATAGGACAAAATAAAAAGCAGAAATAACCAACGAAAAAGCGCATGCAAGGGAAGCAGTGGGGGATTTCCTCTGCCACTTTTTTTTCACACAAAAAAATATGAAAATGAGCTCGAATTTGAATTTCCTTCTTTTTCCTTCTTTTTCCGGCATTTGATCCAAGCAGATAAAAAAATTACCAAGCAACCAAACACAGCTTAAGATAAACGAAGCCCCATCCCTAATCGACACTGCATGAAAGAAGTTGAAGAACCCCCAAATGGATAAGCTAAAAACGGTGTATTTGGATTCGGCCCTGAGCATAATCAAGGGGGCCCTGTGCATCATCCTTCAGATACCCACTAGCAGGACGACCGAAAGCGTAAAAAGAAAGGTACTAAGATCGAACCGAAGAGAACGAGAGCACGAGCAGGAGGAGGAGAAGAAGAACACTGCTCATAGGATCTGTATTTCTTTTTTTCAACGAGTTGATGTGGCCACAGGGGTGGTAGGCCGATTTGAAATGGAAATGCATCTCCTACGGTGTGTGCTCCCAGTTGTGCTGTCTGCCCAGCGCAGGGGTTCTAGCCAGATTGGTGTTCTTCAAGGCGCCTATTCTGCTTCGCTAATTCTGAGTTGCTAATTCTACGTCGCAAATTCGGAGTCACCAATTCTGCGTAACCACCTTTTCGAGTATCTCCTGACCGAAACTAACGGGGCTCACTGCGCTCCCCTTCCTCCCCACCGCAGCAAAACAACAATGGCGTGCTGATCGTGAAGTCCATCTTGATGGAGCCGACGATCAGCCAGTACGATGACATAAAGAAGCTGATCCGGAACAAAATCCAAGAGCAGGTCCCCTTTTACAACTACCAAATGAAGAGGGCCCTTGCAGAAATGATTTACGGAGATTGCATATATGACAACTTTGGGCTCGCAAAGGACATCAGCGAGGTCAACCTCATAGCACTGGAAGAATGGAACATCAACTGCAACAGAAATAGGGTCCTCCAAAATACAGGCTTGATAAAGGAAATCCAGATAAACGAGTTCAAATATTTGACTACGAAAGAATCCTTGGAAGTTCATTTTGCAGTGAACCCCAAGTACACATTTGAAGAATTGAGTACTATGTACAAAAGTGAAAAGAATCTCATCAATTTTTTGTTGGCTCCAATTGTTAAAGTTTACACATCAGAGGAGACTGTCGTTAGAGGAGAGGATCCCATGAAGGACGATTTTGTGTACGCCCATGTAGAAGACATTTTGCAAAAGAATAAAGTGCTGCCCCCATCGGGGGTTGAAAATGTGAATTACCAAAGATCTAAAGAAGTGACCCCATGGGATGTGAACATAACTGAAGAAGGAATTAACTACAATAAGTTGATAAAAGAATTTGGGTGTTCCAAAATTACCGAGAGTCATATTAAGAGGATAGAGCATCTGACCAACAGGAAAGCTCACCATTTTATCCGACGAGAAATATTCTTCAGTCATAGGGACTTGGATTTTTTATTGAATTATTATGAACAGCATAAATGCTTTTATATATATACTGGTAGAGGACCATCTTCCTTATCCATGCATCTAGGTCATTTGATCCCATTTTATTTCTGTAAATATCTTCAAGACGCTTTTAACGTCCCATTGGTTATTCAAATGTCCGATGATGAGAAGTTTCTATTCAATCAAAACTACTCCTTAGAATATATTAACACTTTGACAAAGGAAAACGTGAAGGACATAATCGCTGTTGGGCTGAACCCAGAGCTGACCTTCATTTTTAAGAACATACAATATGCAGGCTACTTATATCCAACGGTTTTATCTATCCATAAAAAGACAACCCTAAATCAGAGCATGAATGTTTTTGGCTTTAATCATTCGGATAATATAGGAAAAATATCGTACCCGTCTTATCAGATTGCTCCCTGCTTTTCGCAGTGCTTTCCGCAGTTCCTTCCTCCCAATATTCCTTGCTTAGTTCCGCAAGGCATTGACCAGGATCCCTACTTCAGGCTCAGCAGAGACATCGCGGTGAAAATGGCTCTACACAAGCCCGTTGTTGTGCACTCCGTGTTTATGCCGGGGCTTCAAGGGGTGAACACAAAGATGAGCAGCACGAAGAAGGACGAAAAGGGAAAGAACGACTCGGGCGGGAAAGACGGAACGGGACAGAGCGGCACCCCGAAAAATAGCCCCAGCAACAGCACCAAGGAACACAACAACAGCGTCATATTCCTAACCGACACGCCCGAACAGATCAAAAATAAAATTAACAAGTATGCCTTCAGCGGGGGAGGGGCCACGATTCAGGAACACAGAGAAAAGGGAGGCAATTTGGAGAAGGACATTTCGTACCAATATTTGAGATACCTCATGGAGGATGACGAGAAGCTGCACGAAATTGGAGAGAAGTACAGACGGGGAGAAATGCTAAGTGGGGAGCTCAAGAAGATTCTCATCGACATTTTAATCGACCTGATACAGAAACACCAACAGAGGAGGGAGGCCCTCACGGAGGCGGAGATCGCCTATTTTTTTGACGCCAGCAAGCCCGGCTTGAGGAAGTTCAGGGGGGGTTAGATGGTTAAGCGGCACGTTGAGCAGCGCGTTCAGCGATGTATCCGAGATAATGCAGACATACTCCTGCGATTGCGCCCCCGCCCATCCGCCTCGGCACCTAATTAGGAAACCACTTGTAATCCACACGTTGGAGCACCCCCGGGGTGGGGAGCGGTCAAAACTGCGAACAGACACGGCGAACCTGCCTCCTCCAACCCGCATGCAGTGTACTTATAAGCGGATGACACGCAGAATTGGAGTGGCACATGGAGGGAAAGCTACTCTCCCACTATGCGTTTGCAAACGGTTTGTCAATTTGTCCATCGGTTTCGTGCTCGCCGGAGCGATTCCATGATTGTACTTTATTGTATTTTTCTTCATTTTGATTTATTCTACCTTGCTTCGTTTATTTAGCCGCGCTTATTTCGCCGTGCTTATTTTGCTGCCCCTATTTTGCTGCCCTTATTTTGCTGCATTTTATTTTTCTTTCTTTAATTAGCCGAAACGGTGTGAAGATGTGCCTACGCGCGCGCGACTTTAAGGGGAGAGGCCTAGCGAGACCACTGTGAATCCCCGTATCTTTGTTCAACGGCACATCGGTCCACCTTTATTTAGCCATTGTCGGATCGTCGCCCTTTTCTGCCCTCACTTAGCTGTGAATACGGGGCGGTAACACCCCTTCTCTTCGGAGGCGAAACGAGGTTTTCCACGTTGACGAATGTTTAAAATTTGATTAAAATTAAGACGGTGAGTACATTTTTTTTTCACATCGCTCGTCTCCCTAGGCGTGTTATTTTGTGGAGGGAATTTTCACATACGCATGATGCGGGCTGGGGAGTGGAAGCCCGCGGGGGTTATTAAAACAGGCATGTACGCACGTTTCGAAAAAAAAAAAATACACACAGGTGCATATACATATATGTATTCATATCTATACATATATGTATGTGTGCAGAGCACAGCTGCGCGTGTGGTGTGGGGCTACCGGCCGAAGAACATGCTGTTCGGGTTGGAACTGCCGTAGTTGATGTTGGCCTTGGAAAAGTCCATCTCGGGGTGCATTTTCTTGAACTTCTCAAAAATTTCAAACTTCTTCTGTTCATCGGACGTGGGCAAATTCATAGCCTTCTGCCTCTGGTCGTAGAGCATTTTTTCCACCACCGACCGAGTCTCTGCATCGAGGTCCTCCATCCTGGAGTTCTCTGGAACGATTTTCTTAACGTCAATTTCGGAGTCGCCCTTTATAACCGTAGACCACCACTCCATTCCGTTTAGCTTTTCAATGCACACATGGATAACCCTGTTATCTTCCAAGGTCCAAATGGAGTCCTCTGGTTTTATATGTTTATAAAATTCTCCATCAATAATAACTTCGTTTTTAACATTCACATACAATTTTTTGTAAGTTATTTCTAACTTTATGTCCTTCGTTTTTACCTTCTGGTCCAGATTTATGTACATATCAAGACTGTTTATAGTTTGCGTCCATGTGTATTTTTCTGTTTTTCCACCATTTCCCTTGGGTGGTTCATCATTAGTGTCATCGTCCGAATCCTCTGATTTATTTGCCTTCCGATCGTTCTTCCCTTTCCCTTTGGCGGAATATTCACTTATGGGAGTGGTTCTCTTTTCACCTCTGTCTTTCTTGGAGTCCCCTTTTCCGTTCGGAAGGTGTTGATTAATGGCTAACTCTTCGTCTCCCATTATTCCATCCTCGTCAATTTCGACGACACGCTTCTCCTCCTGCATGTTGTCCAAAGCAGATGTTGACGTTCCGTTTTTCACATTATTGTTCATTTTCAAATTTGTATTTTTCCTTTTTTCATTCACTTGGTCTTTCCTACTATTACCGTTACTGTGTTCCCTTTCGTAGATTTTTTTCTTTTCTTCATCCATTTTTTCGTATTCCTTTTTTAATTTCATCAAATATTCGTCCTTCCGTTTGTAGTACTTCCTCAGCGTTTTCAAAACGATCTCTTCACATTGTTCTATGTTCTTCGAATTTGTAATAAAGTCTGTTTTACGCAACAGGAAGGAGAAAAAATGGTTCATCAAACTGTTAATGTCTCCACATTCTTTGGCAATGTTTAGCATTATAAAGTCAAATTTCTCGTTTACCACTACGTCTGTATCCATCTTTCGTCCTTTTCTTTTTCTCTTCAGCTATCCTGTGATGCTACGTTGCCGTGGTGGTGGTATCTGCGCTTCACCACAAAGTTACGACGGTATTGTACATATACGTAGAAAGCGCGAGTATAATAAATGTACTTCTTACCCTTACGTATATACCACTTCTATATATAAAATGAACGAACGGGCAGGCACTACATATGGCGCTATTAACGTACGGCAAGAAAGAAAAAATTAAAAAGTCGCGTCACAGAGAGTAAGCTTTCTTGGTCTGGCAAGGAAACAAAAAAAAAAAAAATTCGCAAAAAAAAAGGGCCCACCCCAAAAAAATTGCCTTTTTTTGGCTCCATTTTTTGTTCTCCCTTTTGTAAAATAAAATTGTTAGCCGCACGGGGGATGTAAAAAGGAGGGTGCGCTTCGCTGCTTGTAGCACGTTTGGAGTTGCCCAAAGGAGGCTGCCCATATTTTGAAGGTGATCTGAATGTAAATGTACGTATGGAGGTATTCACATAGTACGCCTCTATACATGTATCATCCACGCTGTACGCATGTGTACATGTTTGCATTATCGCGTAAACGTGCAGTTGTCCACGTGGAAAAAGCGTTTATGAGTAGAAAAAAAAAAAAAACGCGCACTGCGTTGGAACCCACGCTGGGAAAGGGAAAGACCAAACACCTTACGTCAGTCGTGCGAAACACGCGTTGTGGATGCCAAATTGGCTTAACCCAGCGGAATTGAAGCTGTCCGATCTCAGTAAGCCTTCAAAATGGTGAATAAAAATGCATAGAAGAAAATGCAAGCAAAGGGGGGGTATTACCAAAATGGGGAAATTATACCAACGTAGAATAGAGGCGTACATTCCAACGGGCTCGATGGAGGCTCAACTTGGGGGGGGGAAATAAACGCTCAGTTAATGTGACATCCCGCTTGCGAATTGGCGTAATGACCCCTTCGCAGATAAACACTTCCACGTTGTTATGTTCAGCCGCTTGGCGAGCCTTCATCTGCTCCCCTAAGTTAGTACGTTCCTTCCAAAACGGGAAAGACTCACCAATTTTAAGCGAAAAATTGCTCCGCCAAAGGAGCAACATATTGGCATATGCCACAACGTGAGCAAGCATCGAACACGCACCTTTTACCGTTTAAATCTCGCTTCTCAACCGGAGGAATGAAACATCGACTTCTCCCTAACGTACGACGCGAAATGGAAAAGCGTCCAGGTGAATAGCACCACCGGTGTGACACGTACATGCGCACATGGCATACATACAGCTGACATTTTTTGAACCCCGCTTTTGTTGTGGAATAGAAAAACGAACTCTGCTATCCATGTGCTGCTATTACGCACAAATACGCCTACCTGTAGCAGTAGCAGAAGTAGCAGCGTGTTTGATTTGAATCAAACATATGCAACACTTAGGCCAACTGTCCAAAGGGCAAAACAGCAGGGGGGGGATATCCCATCACCTTTGGGAAGTATCCCAGTGATCGCCCCTTTTAGCGCATTAAAAATGGCAGCGTAAAACAGTACATATGCTGCCTTCAAATAGAGCAATTTTGTTCTTTTTTTTTTCTGTAAACATAGGTTAACATGTGTATTATACGTATACACATGGTGAAGAGTGAAAAGGAAAAAAAAAAAAATTATCCTCAGTTATCTCCTAATTTGCGCATCACTGGCGTTTACTTACAACCCTTATTGGGGGCCCCCATATCAGTACGTGTTTACCTCAACCTCGATTATACTTAGACGCGCTGACGGCAAATAACTACACCATAATTTTTTCATTTGCACGAATCCACACGGGGTTTTATTTCGCATTTAATTTGTTTATCTCGCGCGGGTGCAGCAGAAAGACGGGGTCACCGCAACGTTCCCCCATATTTATCGAATGATATCTTTGAGGTGGTGGTATACAGATGGTGTCACCTCTTTCGAAGTTGTGCTCATTTTTTACCCACCTTTGGAGATTACTCTTCTTTCTTTTTTTTTTTTCTTTTAATCGCAAGAGGATTACGTTCTTAGCAGATTCGAAAAGAATATGCTGTATGTTTCGATCTCTCTTGTAAAATTTTCTTTTTTTTATTTTTTCTTTATTTTGGCGCTTTCTCGAAACAGGTGAAGTTGGGTCTTCATAGAGAGGCGTTTTTCTTCATCAATAAATAGCATCGATCTGTCAACGGGGGGACGAACGGCCTAAGAAATCCCCTCCCTCTTTGAGCAGTTTACGTGATTTGCGTGGTTTACGTCTTTTGCGTGGTTTGCGTAGCCATATCACGAGAGCAAGTTTTGACAAATGATACTCACGCTCAAGAAGGGGGGTGAATCAAACTAAATGTAACACCAAGGGGGCAAAGGATATATACTCATTGTTGGGTTGCACAAAGGGACAAACTAAACCAACACGTAATTACAACTTTTTTCCCATCCATCATTTGTTTGGACGATGATTGCGCAATTTTTGGGAATCCCTTAGGGATGTATTCCAAGTCATTGGCCTAACCCTCTTTTGCCATCCCCCTTTTTTTTTTATAGTAAGTACTACTACTCGTTTGTGGTTTTTTTCCTTTAAAATTGCAGAATGGAATAATTTTATGTGCTTTGCTGAAACGGAAAGGCCAAATGCTCTTGTCATGAAAATTAAAAATGCCATTTGAGTCGATCGTAGGTATGTCTCCCCCCTCGTCGTCCCACTTCTTCATCTGCTTCTTCCTCCTCCGCTCCTGGTATTTTAGCCATCACAAAGCATGCGCCTTTGGCAAAATATGCCCATAATCATATATTATAATATATAACAATATACATTTACCTGCTGGCCCTAGGGCCTTGTCAAGACAAAGAACTATTCTTAGAGAGGCCACTTCCTTAAGTATTCTTGCGAAAATAATATGGCAGTAAACGAAGGCGCATGCACTAGAGGGTAGTAACATATAATAATATTATATGCGTCCATTTTTTTTTTCGTAACTTTTTTTTCAAAAAAAAAGGTTCAAATAAGGAAAAAAAAAAAAAAAATATATACAATTAATTCATCATATTTTTTTTACGCGGAAAAATCATGCATCATTAAAATTTCTTCACATTTGGGTAAATTTACAAAATAAGAAAAATGTACCATGAGTTTTTACTTATATTACATTTTTTCGTAAGAAAGAAATAATTTTTCACGATTGCAACCTGCTCATTTTGCCACTATTGTAAGTTCCCTTTTTTTATGCTTTGCTAAAAAAGCAATGAATTCGCGAAACAGTTGAAAAAAAAAATTCTCAGCATTTTGCGAGTTAATTTTGGACCACTTGAAATGACACACGAAAAAGAAAATTGGCAAACGGAAGATCAATAAAGCATTAACTGCAGATCGATAAAGCGATTGAGCAACGATTTACCAAACCAAGTTGCGTACCACTCACCTTGTCGATTTATTACCGTTACCAGTGGTAGGCAAAATAGCGAACCTACTCCAAAGAAGCCGCAAGTTTGATTCCCCTGCAAAAGTTTAACCGCCCAATTTTCGTTTTCGCGCAAAACATAATGTAATAACCCTCAATCGGTTAAATTGTCATCGAAAGGGCAATTATTTTTTTTTTTTACTAATTGTTCGCCACCCCTCCAAGTTATTACCTTCCAAATTGACGCTTCGAAAGTTTTTGCAGAAAGCGAGCACTTTTGCTTGTACAAGTGAATATATGTGTACACCCTCTGGCGCGTTATAAATTGCTCACTGTGGAGTTGTCGAAAACGCACGCGCACGTGTATTCGTGTAGATATGATCATACATATATGCTCACACATGTATGTTCATATATACACGTTCATATATTCTATGCCGTCGCCCATTTAAATCGGTTTTCCATATAACCTGACAAAGTCGTGCCTGTTCTTAACGCCGAGAGCCCGCTTGTACTTATCCCTTCCGTTGTGGAGAACCATTTTTTTCATACACTGTATATGTACGAAGCCTGCAAAATGGGTCTTAAAAAGTGCATCGTTTCCTTTGCCTTTTTTAACCTCATTTCGTATGTAAAGAAAGAGGGCAACGACTCATGCCTGTGCAATCCAATTCCATTCCCTATGGCGGAACCCGAACCCGAGTACATGGAGGAGGTCTCGTATTCACCACTACCAGAACCACAAGCACAACCAGTTCCCGATGACGGAAATGTAAACAACGGTAACAATAATTTTTATAAGAATGGAAATTTCAATGGAGGAAATGATGATGGTGACGACGATGATGACGATGATGAAATAATTGATAACTCCAATGATGACGAGGATTCCGACGACAATGATGATGACGATGATGACGAAATTAACCAAAATAACTTAAATAATTCCGAAAATAAAAGAAAAAGAAATAATTCGTAGATCTCTCTAGTCCAAAAGAGCCATGTTTATGAAGAGAAGATGGAGGATATCCACGAGGGTGTACCATCCACAGGGGTATACCCTCCGCAGTGGCGCACCAACCTCAGACACACTTTTGAAGTGAACAACCGTGTACTTTGTTTTATCTTAACATATTTTTAAATACCATTTGGAAGCATTCGCTTTCTTACGTGATGGTGTCTCCTCTGTACGTATAAAACTCAGCAGAAGTGAACGAAGAAATGAACGCAGAAGGCTACGTGCAGGCGTGCCGTCCCGAAGCGGATCTGATGTTCTGCTTCCCCTTACGCCAGTCATTTCCATTATGAGAAGTGCAATGTGTATATGAAGCGGGTGCGTCTACTCTTGCGCTTCCCGTACCCTTGTTCACAACATATTCAACTTTTTGCTCACACTGTGAAAATTGCCAATCTTTTTAATCCCCTTTCTGTCAACGAACAGAACGAATAAGAAGCACCACACCCGTGTTGTGCACCCTCCATTTTTTTCTTTTTTTTTTATTATTTTTCCATGTGATAATAAAATCATCTTTAACAAAAAAGAAAAAGGATTTTTCCTTTTTTTTATTTTTTTAATTGTTTAAACTAAACAAGAATTTCATAACACTATTCGTAAATTAATATAAACTGAAGAAAAAAAAAAAAATGAGCAAAAAGCGAATCGTTCTGGGGGAAGTGAAACCTTTTCTGTCCACGATCCTCCACCTAACCAGTTTTCTTAATCTGTTGTCTGTACTTCCGACCTGAAGGAAATGGACGGGTTAGTAACAAAAAAAGGAAAGTTAAATATGTTCATGAGAAAATTGAATGCACGAAAGCAGGGGGCGGGGCACCCATTCCCCACAAAGTGATCTTTCCGAAGATATGTCTTCACCACGGATGGGTCATACAAAGCTCATGGTGACACTGTCAAATGAATTGAAAAAAAGAACAAAAGGAAAAAGAACTAAAAACACACTGGTTTATTTGGTCGCTTTACTCTGCCTCCACCATCCTGCTAACCTGCTGTATACAGATTGATAAACTGCGATTTATATTTTGGGTTCCTCGGCGCCTGCTTGTAAAAAATGTACTTCTCTAAATACTTGGGAATTCCTCTAGATCTGGGGGCCGGGTTTGATAAAACTTGTTTGTGCCTCGGGTTGGCATTGCAATCGACTCCTGAAGTTTTGTGCGCACAAAATGGGGTGCATACGTTATTGGGAACAACGGACATAGGAATGACCATTGGAACTTTTCTCAAATGTGAGAACATAGTGTGAAGCCGCTTGTTGCTCATTGGCACTGCGTCGACTCCGAATGGCTACTCTGACGAGGAAAATCTCTCCTTACGTACCGAGTAACGGAATGTGCCACCTGTGAATAACATATCGACACGAATTGCAAAGCAGGGTCAGAACTCCTGCGCATTGGGGGGGAGAAAAAAAAACAGCAAATTAGAAGCAGAGTGGTAACCACATGGGATGCTGTTACGCTTCGCATAAATTTCAAGTGGACATGCCATCTACAATTGCAAAGGTGAATTCGTCCCATTTGTGCAGTATACCTCTGTGCCACATTTTTAAAAAAGTCCCGCCTTTTTACACACAAAAAAATAATGTTTGACGGTAAGGCTAATCGGAAAGAAGCGGGAAACTTCCCCAGTGCAAGATGGAGACAAACTAATCAAGAAGGTTTATCCATACATATATACATAAAGCTGTTCGCAAAAAATGGAGCTACACATGCGGATGGTGTTCCTTTCGAAGATTTCTTTTTTTGTGGACCTTTGCTAAGAGCTGGCGCGCTTACAAGTGGCTCAACACGCTCAACCCTATTGTAGTGCTGTTTATTTGAAAGAAAATTTCACTTCGTCACGCTTGGACAATCTTTGGCCACCTTTCGCCGCGTTTTTCTGAAAAGTCTGTTGTGATGCCGTAAGGTCATTCGCCTCTTGGATTTTTTTTTTTTTTTCTTTTTTTTTCTTTTTTGTATTCGTTCCGCCCCCCTTCCTACGCTCGATGCTTTGTTAACATACGGGTAAAACTTTTACGATCTATAATCCAAGCGCTTCATTGCGAAAGGGAAGATGAATGAGCATTTTCTCCTTTTTTTTTTTCCGCTCCCTCGAACGGAAGTTACAATGTTATATGAACGCATACCCTGCATATTTACACGTGTTTACGCACTTATGCGGCGCCCCATTTTGTGTGCATTCAATTTGCCAATACGGCCAAGTTTGAATATTTACACAAAGGGGCCCATTATGTTCGTACCATTGGGACCAACGCATGAGAAAGAAGTCATATGACTAACAAGGTGAGCATGCGCCTGTGATAATTTTTCGATCCTTCCCTTTGTTGCATGGCTTGTGAGTATACAGAGCATTCCTCCGATCACCACTTTGCATTTTCTTCCAAGTTTGACATTTTGCTTACAAACTTGAAGCTCATTTGGGGAGAAAATCCATTTGCGTAAGTGCGCATCAGTCTGTTTACCTACAAGGGGGTGTTGTCGCCAAGAGCCCATTTCTTACTCACACGTTCACGCATACGGACGTAACGATCAGAGTTTACAAAGCAGGGGGAAGCTTTGGTCTGTGCTGCGAAATCGCATTCATCGCCTCGCCCGCCGCCAAATGATTGAAGATCCCGTAGACGAAAACTATCACGTATACCTGAACGCGTAAGACATTTGTGCATTGTTTTGTGGGCACATGCTATTATGCTGCTTGTGCAAGTGTGGCCTATTCGCTTACCAGAACGCTTTTTCATTCGCAAAAGTTGATGCACTGCAAACACGTTTATGACATCAAATTATTTGCAACTTTTCTTTTTTTTTTTTACCTGTCTTTTTCGAATTTACACAGGAAAAACTGGCTGAAAGAATTCGAACATACAAAAATACACGAAAATGATTTGAACGAAGTTCTTATGAATTTCTTTTGCGTCCACAGGATGTATGATGTTGCGAGTGAGTTTCAGAAGGAGGCCCGGGTAAAGCGTACGTAGATGAGCGTCATGGGGGAGTTGCCTGCAGAAGGGAGATCGCAAACTGGGCAACGGGCAGGATGCTGTAAAACTAGACCCGTGTGAAGTTTCTCTACAAAACGGGAAAAAATGGAATGAAAAAAGAAAAAAAAAAAAAAAAAGAAAAGAAAAAAAAAATAACAAAAGAACAAAATAAAATGGTGAAAGAGTTCACAATAGTGTCACACTAGGGTAAAAAAAAATGATGATTCTATGCGCAGAAATAAAAATCAAAGTCGTACTACTATGTAGAATGATGATACTTGATGTCATCCTTGAACTGATTTTTTTTTTTTTTTTCACATGATCTGATAATTTGAAATTGTCGCCAAATATGAGCCACATTTTGTTGCCTTCGCAACCGAGTTGACTGAGACAACTTTGACAACGGAGAAATGTGTCACTATGGAATCAGAAGACAGTTAAATATGTTGAGCTGCACAACTAATGTGGGCATTTTTTTTTTTCATCTTTTTTTGTCAACCTCCCTCACAGCTGATATGCCAATAGAGACAGTAAAAATTCGTTACTTAATTCAAAATGAAATTATGAATAACAAAATTGAGGAGGCCATAGAACATATCAATAATTTAGACAAGGGGGTGAGCCATGATTTTGTCCTTTTTTATCTCGCATTATACCCTATTGAGCTTTCCCCGTTTTTTGCATATAGTTACTCGTTGCGAGCACTTGATCATGCTGCTCCCTTCTTTCACGTATCTGAATTTCCAGATTTTAAAAAAGCATAAGGACCTTGTTTTTTTCCTCAAGAAGCAGCAACTATTAAAATTAATTTTGAACGTGAGTAAACGGGGCAGTAACAAAAGTAACCACGCCTATTCAGTTTATTCCTCGCAGATGTCCACAATAGAGGAGCGGCTCCATTTGTATGTGCACTTAACATGGATATATTTTTTTCCTTTCCCACCCCCCTTTCAGAATAACATCAATGAGGCGATATTATATTCGCAGCAGGAGCTGGCCCCATACGTGAACGAAAAGGTTTGGGAGTCCCCGTGGGGATAGCGGTGTACGCGTGAAGCTTACACATGCATGCCCTTGGTTTGTTTACTCGTTTTCATTGTTACCATTCCTTCGTTTATTGCTCTGCTCATAGTTGTTCACTCGCATGTGCGCACTTTTGTATACCTTTGTTGCATTCCATGCACGCTAACATTTTTCCCGCTACCCCCCTCACAGCCATCCCTCATTAGCGAGATTGATGACGTCATGATGCTTATGGCATACCAGGACTTTAATGTAACCCTGCATTCGTTTCAACGTCGTCACTGCGTCTGTTTCGCCTCCCGTTTTGCCCCCCGTTTTTGCTTCTCCTTATAAGTTGCCCCTTGTGAATCCTTCGCACAACCCGCAGAGCGAGGAGGCCAAAAAGTTAATCCAAAAAATAGAGAAGAAGAAGAACACCCTGAAAAGGATCGACGACATCATCTTAAGTTACTACAACGTTGACAGCGGTGAGTTGCAGAGAGCCTCAAAGGAAAAGAAAAACTCACGAGTGAACGGGTGGGTGGTCCCACCAATATTGCCCACCTTCACAGTCACACACAAAACCGTGCCTTGTCATCTTTTTATGACATGGTGAATTTTTCCCCCTCGTAGAAAGTACACTGGAATATATCGTTAAAAACATCTTCTTCACGCAGAATGTATTGAGTTCGAAGGTAGGCAAGGGGAGGGGCTTGCGCGAGGCACGTGTGCAAGGACGTGTTCCCCGTCCATGTGCTACTTTCTTGTACCCCTTCGATGTGCTACTTTCTTGTACCCCTTCGATGTGCTACTTTCTTGTACCCCTTTGATGTGCTACTGCCGTCTCCCTCCCCCAAACAGTACCCCTGCAGTATCCCCAAACTGAAAAACCTGAAGACTGGCTACATCGAGTATTACGAAAAGCAGAAAAAGAGAAAGAACAAAAAGTCCAGCAGAAGAACTAGACACAAGAGCAAGTCCAAGGAGAAGATTTTCGACGACAAAACTGGGGAAGACACGGCGAAGGATTTCGAGGTGACGAACGAGGATGACTATCGTTCCGTTTAGCACAGCGGCGCTGTAATTTATTTATGCATTCATTTATGCATGCATCCATTTATTTTTTTTTTTTTCATGTTGATGCGTGCATATGGGAATAACTCGCGACAGTTAATTTTCCCCCTTTTGATCACTCCATGGTTATTTTTCAGGGGGACTACCTCTTTCCCTCCCCCCCGTTGTCCCTACGCTTATATGTGTTTGTTCTTTACGATATTTCACCACTCGCATGATGATGTGACTGTTTTTCCAGTGGCGGGGCTCGTACGGGCCTCCGCGCACCTGGCAGCCACGCGCGCCGATAAAGCAAATTCAAAAGGAATAATTTATAAAGTTGTATATATAATAAAACAGAGTAAAGGTTAAGATGGAAGTGGTGACGAAAAAGAGGCCGTAAAAAATTAAAAGAAAAAGAAAAACTTCATCAAAACTGAAGTAGGAAAATACAAAGGAAACATTCTTAAATAATGTTTTGTATTTTAAATAAATCCTCTTACTCATGGTAAAGTTGAGATAAATATTTAACCAATAAGTGAAGGTGTTGTAAATGTGCAAACAATACAGCAAATTTATGTACGTAGTTATGTAGAAGATTATTTTTTTTAATGTTTTATTGCGTGTGCGCAGAAAGTGAATATAACTTAAAAGTACGGTGATGATTATAATTGTAAACGTGTTAATAACGATGTTGTATATTTGATTTACTTGAATTTCGATGATGTAATGGAAAAGGAAGAATATATAGTACATGACAAATAGCAAATTTACAAAAAGCTTCGTTTTGTTTTTTTTGTTTAACATCTTTTTCGCCTTTTGGTCATCATTTTTCAGTTTTTTTTTTTTCACATTCTGATTGTGATGATTATTTTCGCATATTCCAAAATTGTTTTTGAAAAAGGATTTATCATCAAAATGTGTCTTCTCAGAATCGCTGTAAATTTTCTGGTTTATTTCTATGCTCACTTTTTTCCTGATTTTGTACTCATTTACGGACCGATCCCTCGGGTGATTAGCGCAGCTAGTGTGGTTGCTTGGGACGCTGTGACGATTCGGGTTTATAGCTGGGTTTATGCTACAATTCATGTTATTGCTGACTTGGCTAGCACTCACACTGTTTCCTCTTTTGTTGCCGCTCCTGTCGTTATTCTTTTTACCCTTGGGGGCACAATCGGGAAGGAAACCCGGCGTCGCATTTTCTTGGTGAGCTGACAGGCCCTGTGGGGCTTCGCTGCAAGGGGGATTGTTTCGCTTTATAGCCTTCTTTTGGGGAGCAGTCTTCTCGGGCACCGTCTTCTCCTGCCCCCTCTTCTCGGACATCGTCTTCTCCTGCCCCTTTTTTTCCTTGCCCTCCTTTTTGCTGCCCTGGTCTATCTCTTCCTTTTCATTCTTTCTTTTGCACAAATTGTTGTTTTTATATTTTTCAAATACTTTGTCATAGTTTCCGTATAGCTTATCCATTTAACGTTTTCCCAATTGAGCTGCAGTATATTTTACACGTTTGGTTCGGTTGCGCTGTGTTCAAGTGATCACTTTCGCGAGGGATAGCACCGCGTGGGGCAGTACCTTGTAGGGGAGCGCTATGTCCGCCCAACCACTCTGCGGTGAGAGCCCTTTTGCGGGGAAATCGCACTGGTGACTGTCTTTGTCGCTGTTATCTCGCCAGTTCGCGCGACTTCCCGTTTTTCATTTCAGGACGTTGGAGGTATACCACAAGAAGAGCACACAAACATCCAGAGAAATTTTTTCCACTTCGATAAATTTAACGCATGCATGCGGGCGGTTATAGCGAGTTTAATGGAGTGTGTCATGCGGGAGGTGCCTTGGAGTCGGAAAATATTAGGCACGAAACGCCCGCATGTGCACATAGATGTATGCGTGTCCATTCACACAGAGCTACATGGCAGCGCATGAGTCTGTGCACAGACAAACCTTTCGACTCTCTGAGATAACGTTTTAAAAAAAACAAAACATTATGCGAAGGCAACACATAAGGTGTTAATCAAAAAAGGGAAAAAAAATTGTAAAAAGGAAAACGAAAAAGTAAACTGAAAAGTAACCGCTAAGGGAGTAGCAGCTGAAACGTGACCACTAAAAAAAAGATAATTGTACAGGCTTCATTATGAAGAATAATCAGGGAGATATTTCTTCTTCACTTGTGAACCTTGTCTTTTTTTTTTTTTTTTTTTTTTCTTCTTCCACTTTGCGCATTTATTGTGCCCACTTTTCCGTTTATTCGCTTTCTTCTCTTACCCCCGCCTTAGACTTCCACAAATTTTTCCTCACGTGTTGCAAGTCCACTTTGGGGTCAGACTTATTTGGTCTTGCTTCCCTAAGGGCAACTGGTTCCTCACCAGATGTGCTTTCATATCTACGAGTTAAAAATTGTGAAGCAAGTATTAAGAACAGAAAAGGGAGACATGGGAAAAGCTTTGAGGTGCCATTTCTCCTGATCGAAAGGTAGACTTATCACGGGGATTTTCGTTACCTGTCGTGCCTCCACCTATCGCTGGCGATCGATCCTTCATCGCTCATTTTCCTGCCTCAGGGGGGAAAAGGGAAAAAAAAAAAAAAAAATAAATAAAAATAAAAAAAATATGTGTATTCACTGTGGGTTCTTACAATTTGTAAGCATCCATTAGTGCAAAACTAACTTACACTATTTTCAACCTTTTTAATATTTTTTTTTTGGGTGTTACTTGTGCCTGTGCTTTTTCTTCTTCTCGTACGCCAGGAGGAGGGGATTGAAGGGGTCCTTGGGAATCGGTTCGTCGTAAGAGCTACGAGGGAGTGAAACGCATAGGGGAGAAAATGAACACATGTCACACTAGGGCGCGTGACGTTAAACCATGTTTCGCCGCATTACATCTCCTCTAGTGGTATACCATGTCATGTAGGCTTCACTATGGAGAGACTTCCTGCACAATACAGTGGCGCCCTTTTTTTTATTCAACAAAGCTTTATTGTTGACGCATGGAACACTCACCTTCTTGTCCTCGATCTGGACCTTTTGTGTTTTTTTTTCCTGTCTGCATCCTTTTGCTTCCTGTGCCTTCTGTCGCTATCGTAGCTTTCCTTGGAACTCCTTTTCCTTTTCGTCCTTTTGTCTTCATTGGACCTATTCTCGTGTGTGGACTCTTTCTTTTTCCTCTTCTTCCTGTCTTCTGCTTGGTCGTCATTTTTTCTTTGCTCCCCATAGCTATCCTTCCTTCCGTCCTTTCTGTGCTCCTTTTTATGGTCGCCTTCGCTCACCCCTTCGCGCTCCCTTTTGGATTCTTTTCTGTCTTCCCTTTTGTCCCTTTTTGTGATATCCTCCTTGCTATCATTCTCTCGCTCTTTGCATTTTCCTACTTTTTGTTCTTCCTTTTGGTTTACTTTCTGCTCCTTCTGTGTGCCTACTTCGTGCTCGTCCATTTCGTCCACCAGCACCTGCTGATGCTCCCGTTGATCCTCTTTTCCGCTTCTAGCGCTTCTACTGCTGCTCCTCGTTCTGCTCCTTGACCTGCTTCCCCGTTTCCTCTTCCGGGTGTTCTTCCGCTCCCTTTCCCGTTCTCGTCTCCTTTGCCTTTTTTCTTTTTTAATTTTCCGGATAACATTCATATATAAATCTGAGTCGATGCCTGTGCTGTTGCTCACGGTCGAGATTGAAATGTCACTTAGCGAGTCAGCATGGAGGAACTTCTCTTCGTCCTTTCTTCTGTCCTCTTTCGCGTGGCCTTTCTTTGTCGCCTTCACATCGTCCCCATTGGTTGCCTCTTTTTTGTATACATCCAAGGGGTTATTCAACAGATTGGTGTCCTTCATTTTGTGCGTGTAAATATATTCTATCTTTCCCCGAATGGTACATTCATTGCGCGGGTACAACAAAAGAGTGTACGCGTGGTACGCCGCGGTTCAAGCAGGTAGGCATTTCGCGCTGTCCTCTGTTTTTCCCCCTTTGCTATGCCTCCCCTTCGATTTGGGTCTGATTCGCCGTTCCCCCACTTCTCTTTTGCTTCACCTCGCTTTGGCTTAAATTCACCCCCCCACTTTGCCTTTTTTTTCACTTTTTAAATGTCGCTGCTAGACACTACAAAATGGTGCTAACGGCTAATAGTCACATTTATGTGCTCTCACGAGTGACATTTTTCGCCGTGTTGAAATGCCCGTATGTTGTATTCCCCATCTTGCGTTTGTTCATTGTTTGCCCTTCTCTATACATTTTTTTTTTATCCTTTTCTTTCTTGCGCCAGACGATATGTTTAAAAATGATTTTGCTCTACGATAGCATTGGGGAAGGAAAAGTTTCGGTGGGGGGCAAAAAGGATATGAGAGAAATTCGCCGCCAATGGCCAACTGGCCAACTGTCAACTACCAATTGCAAATTGCAAATTGCCAAATGTTCCAAGTTTGAAAAAGAAACTGGGAAAAAACTGACAAGTTGCAGCCCCTGTGCTGTTTTGTTTTTGCTCATTTCTATAATTTTCGTGCTTCCCTACTTGTTCCTCCTACCATTTTATATACATAGGTACATACATACATAATACATGCATATATTTTTTTTTCTCTCTCTCTGCTGGTCACGTACCGTTTTCTTGCCCCTCGGAAGAATACGCTGAGGGATGAATATTGATTGGCACAAAAAGAAGGGCAGCGTGAAAAAACGGGCGAAGTGGCACACAACGTTATTAACATTCAAACGCAACAAAAAAAAAAAAAAGGTACCACCCGTAAGTAGCTCCGCGTACACCTATTTGTGTACCCACGTGAGGAGCCCAAATGAGGAGAAACTTTCACCCCATTGTTTGTGAAGTGGCCGCAGCTAATAAGCCAACCATCGCAACCGATCAATGAAGATATACAAGGGCATATCGGCACATGCCGCTCGGTGCTGACCGTAATAACATGCACTGCGCTTATGTAGTGCCATGTGCAAGAAAATACGGGGGACACAATCACGTGCGGCCTTCGCAATCAGGCTAAACGTAGACATGCGCCACTGCGTAGAAAAAAACGCCATCGCCACCACTTCCTCTTCGTCAGAGCTTTTTTGCGAACTCCTGCAGTTGATGCTTTATGATATCCATATTTTTTAACAAGGATTCAAATTCGGGTCTGTTGAAAAAAAGGACATTCTTGTTTTTGCAGCATATGCATAGATTCGGCTCCACTTCCTTCACTCCTTTTACTCGGTTGAGGACAAACATGGTACGTCCATACAGGCCCAGCTATCGAAGAGGGTGCGCCGCGTTGGGCAAAAAAAATGGAGTGTCAACATGGTGAATTGAAAGAGTAGGGTGAGACGGCTCCCCCCTGGTTACC